GCGCACTTCCATTATGTATTATCAATGGGTGCTGTATTCTCACTGTTCGCAGGGTTCTACTACTGGAGACCTAAAATCTTTGGTCGAATGCACTCAGAAGTATTAGGGCAAATCCAATTCTGGACACTATTCATCGGAGTTAATGTAACATTCTTCCCTCAACACTTCTTAGGATTAGCAGGTATGCCTCGACGAATTCCAGATTATCCTGACGCATTCGAAGGATGGAACTATGTTTCATCAATTGGTTCATTAGTATCTGTTGTTTCAATGGGACTATTCTTATATGTTGTTTACGATATGTTTGTAAACCAACCAGTAGCTTCAGCTAACCCATGGGGAACACCTGCGTACTTCATGAGTACACCTTCATATCAAAACGAATCACAAACAAGTACAACATTAGAATGGGGAGTACCAAGTCCAACTCCATATCATGCATTCTTAATGTTACCAAAACAATCATAAAATAAAAATTAATTTTTATATCCCCGATCCGCTTTACTTTTTCCTATTGACAAACTTTACATTGAATAATCTTTATTTTGTGTGAGGTTAATAGATTATTCTTTTTAATCAATTTTTACTTGCTATATAAAAGTATAATAACTCTTCTTTAGCTGCTATCTATGATACGCATGAAAAGAGGGAAGAATAAGTTAATATTTATAAAGTTTTTGTCAATATATTTAACTTTTCATTATAAGAAAATATATATTTACAATTATTTAGATATAATATATATCTAATATTTATCTTTACTAATATTTATCATTTTCGATTTATGTAAATCGAAAGTAGATTAAAAATTTGCCTTTACTTATTAGTAGGCCTGTTCTTTGAAGTAGAACAGTATTATATTATAAAAATATGCCTCAATTATTACCTTATTTCTTTGTTAACCAAATCTTATTTGCTATCTTCTCCCTTTTCACTATTGTCTTTGTTTTCAGTCGATATGTACTTCCTTATTTTGTACATTTATTTACTTCACGAGTTTATATCCGAAAACTGTAATAGAAAGATATGTTTTTTAATCAAACATTATTTATTGAAGAATATGTAAATCAGGATATTACGAAAGGATTAAAAAGAAGGAAGAAATAAATTAACTTAAAATTTACTCCCCGTTAGGGCTTAAAGAATTCCTTGGTTATATGGTTATTGTGTGTTTTTAATTATATGAATTATGCTAAGGGACTACTAAAAATGAGATTTACATAGGTAAGATTGACCTATCCAATTACCTATTATATTTTTAATATATAATGAGGTAAAATTTTTATATTAAAAGCAGACACGGATACCTTTTTATAATATTTTACCTTGTTTATTAAATGCTTTATAGCCACCATTATTTTAATTATAGCTTTTGCTTTACCAGAGAACTATTAAGTTAGTTATATATTGACCCCTCATGGGGGATATACCTATAATGTAATCGATACCCTGATAGAAGGGTTTATTTGCACGAATTAGAAAAAGTGAAAAATTCTTAAGTTTAATATTTGTTCAGTATTGGATTTTTAGTCCATTTAATTATAAGTTTAATAACTTAAAATTTTGGGATCTTTTTATAGATTATAAAATTATAAAATAAATAGATAAATTTTTAAATAGATGATTAAATAATTAGATTTATGTAACGTAGATAAGTCTAAGCAGTTATATATGTTGATATAAAATTATATCAAAGTACCGAGAATAGGTTATTAAACCTATTAGTAAACGTTAACTATATATAAGTTATTATAGTAAACAAATAGAGTAGGGTACTAGTCCTAACCATTTTAGTGATAATTTAAAGGGGTTATTTAGTAAAGAGATTTTAGTAGACAGTTGTCCTATTCACTTCAGTAAGAATTAGTTATAAATTAAAAATTAAATTTAGTCAATATTTGTCCGTATTGGTTTTAGCCAATATACTCCTAATTTAATCAATATTTGTTTATATATGGAAAATATGTTTATACGATAGGTGCTAGCTTTAATCTTTTAATGCAAGTTATAATAATTGCAATTATAAATAATTTATTTTAGTTAATAAGTTATTTATAGGATGCTCGTTATTGCCGTCTTTAGTTTAATGACAGCTATTGCTTTATCAGGAATTAAAATTTCACCAAATTTATTAACACGAATCACTTCAATTATTCTAGTATATGCTGCAAGATTAGCCTTTAATGGATTATATATTCAATCGATTGGCTCTGGTGTAGGTATTTATAGTGGATTATTTGAAATTTCAGCCATGTCAGAGTATTTCGATAGATTTCTTTTCATTATTGGGGCTCTTATTTTATTAGGCTGGGCACCTGTTACATCTAAAGTTTTAAGGGGAGTGCAGTCAGTTTTTACGGCATTACCAACTATTCCAGAATATCCCTTAATTATTCTATTCGTAACGTGTGGAGGATCTTTATTAATTTCTAGTGCTGATTTAATTTCGATGTATTTAAGTATTGAATTACAATCATTTTCTGTTTATATTTTAGCCTCATTATACCGACAATCAGAATCTGCAACTGCTGCAGGTCTAAAATATTTTTTATTAGGTAGATTAGCTTCTGCTCTAATTTTATTAGGTTCAGGGTTAATTTATGCTTATACTGGATTAACAAATTTTGAAGGTATTTTCTCATTATTATCAGTAGGAAGCATTGATAATTTAACAGAAGGATTAGGTCCTTGTATTATTGGATTCACTATTCTAGCTATTGGTTTCTTATTCAAAATTGCAGCCGCACCATTTCATAATTGGGCACCCGATGTTTATGATGGTACACCAACTATTGTAACAACATGGTTAACCATTATGCCTAAAATTTCAATTTTAGTATTTTTATTATCATTACAAAGAGGATTAGAATTTAATGGTTCATCATTAAGATTAGTATTTAATGGTGTATCTTTTGATGTATGGAAAAATTTATTATTAATTTCTTCACTACTATCTCTAATTATTGGAACTGTTGTAGGATTAGCACAGTATCGAATTAAACGACTATTTGCCTACAGTGCAATTTCACATGTAGGGTTCTTATTATTAGCTTTAGCTATTAATAGTGAAGAGTCTATTGAGTCATTTGTATTTTATTTAGTGCAGTACACTATTACTAATTTAAATGCTTTCTTAGTTTTATTAGCATTTGGATATATGATCTGTTTATCAAAAAAATCTTCAGACATCCAATTTATTGACGACCTTAAAGGACAGTTTAAATCTAATCCATTATTAGGATTAGCTTTAACTATTAGTCTATTCTCTATGGCGGGTGTACCACCATTAATTGGTTTCTTCGGAAAACAAATAGTTTTATACTCAGCTACACACAGAGGATACTATTTCTTATCCTTTGTTGCAATTATTGTATCAGTAATTAGTGCTTCATATTATTTAAAAATTATTCGAGTAATTCATTTTGAATCAGGCAATAGAGATAATAAAGATATTACACATTCATCAGAATTAAAATTAACTAATGTACATAGTTTTGCTATTGCTACATTAACAATGGTTATTGCATTATATGCATTTAAGCCATCTTTAATCTTAAATAGCGCAACACTTCTAGCGTTAACTTTATTTAACTTCTAATGAATTCATTAAAAATGATGTTTATTGTTGTACCTATTTTAGTGGGTATTTTATTAGTATTAAATGTATTATTAGCTGCACATCGGCCAGATTCTGAAAAAGTAACAGCGTATGAATGTGGTTTTTCACCTATTTATGGGCAAACTCGGACACCTTTTAGTATTCAATATTATTTAGTAGGTATTCTTTTCCTAGTATTTGATTTAGAAATTTTACTTATGTATCCTCTATCAGTAACTTTATACAATGTTTCAACTTACGGATTCTGGGTAGCCATTATTTTTTTCACGGTGCTAACCTTAGGTTTTGTCTATGAAATCGGGTCCGGTGCACTATATTTCACAGATCAACGATCAGCCATTAATAAACGAACAATTCAACTATAGTAAGAGAGGTAGTATATGGTTACAAGATCCCCGATTATTCTCATTTTTATTAGTTTTATGAATAATAATTTTAGTTTGTTCTTGTGTACATAAATACTATTTTAAAGATTTAATAATTGGGAAATTAAATATTGTAGCAATAGCAAAACTATGTACATTAGTTAATTTTATGAGACAGATCTTTTAGGTACTGATTTAACTAAAAATATATTAATAAGTAGTACATCATTTTGAAGATCATAAATGCTGATACAAATAGCTCGATAAAAATGAGAATCAAAGAACCTCCTATCTACCATGGTAATTTGGTGTGATTCAAAAAATTTTAATTGCCCCTAGGTAAAGATCGATCTGAGGAATCTCTAAGATAATTAAGGGCAGGGATTTAAGAATATAAGTTATTTTTCTATCTCATCTATTTAAGTAGGCCAATTTTTTCTGATTAGTATAATCCTCGTAACAAAGCGTTATAAAATTATTGGGTTTAAACCTCTTCTTTTTACCCAATAATATTTTATTATATTAATCCGTGAATGGACTAAGATAAAGTAATAATAATAATGATCAAATAAATTTATTTGTTCATAACTTTTAGAATCAAAAATAGATGATTTAGGAGATATTTTTGATAAAAAGAATTTTAAGTTATTAAATTTTTAATAAGACTAATCTTATATTTAGTGAAGTATAATAAACTAGAGTATATTATAGTTTCGACATAAACAGTAGAATAGTTAATTAAAAGAGAGAGTAACTGTATATTTCTATATATTATTTAAAATAAGTCATTTGTATAAGGGAATATAAGGATTAATAGCCAAGTCTGGTTTAAGGCGTTGTATTTGAACTACAATAATGTTTAAAGCATTCAGGGGTTCGAATCCCTTTTAATCCGTGAATATAGTTAAAAGAGAATAAATAGAACAATGTTAATATAATTAACATAAAATAAGACAAAAGTTGAAGCTTTTAAAACTAATATAAATAAGATAAGATATGTTAGAAAAAAGAAAAGTTAATAGAAGTATTTGGTTATGGTACTTCCGATTGGGTATCTAGGTGTATAACACATGCGAGTCTTATGGTTAAATAGTTAATCATGGCGTACAGGTCAGTATTTTCAAGAAAAGGATCAAAGAGTTCATATAAATAATGAATGAAGAAAAGGAATAAATTCCGCTCTTAGTTTTGCTTGATTCTTATTAGGTAGTTGGAGAGGTAAAGCTTAACAAGCCTATGATGGGAAAAATTAGATGGAAGTCTTAAATTTGACATTGGAAATGAAAAAGTCCAAAGCATCATTACGATGCGCAGCAGTGAAGAATCTTGGTCAATGCACAAAAGTGTGAACCAGTGACCTAGGTTCGATTACCTACTAGTAACGGGTAGGTATCGATAATATTTTTAAATTATGATTAAAAATTATATAAGTCCTGTCCAATATCCGTGCCAGCAGAAGCGGCTATACGGAAGGGGCAACCCATGGGAGCATATAGACGGTGTAAAGGGTACGTAGCCGGTTCACATTTAGTTGGACTAGAATTTGATGGAAGTAACAAAAATACCTAGAGTAGAGATGATATGTGTTTATACTAGGGGGAATGCATGAAGCGAAGGCATGTTACTATGTAAAATTGACAGTAAGGTACGAAAGTTAGGGTATAGAAAGAGATTCGAGACCTCATTATTCCTAACCGTAAACGATGCAAATTAAAGATTTGTTTTTTTAGATAAGTCTTGTATTTAACGACTTAATTTTGCCACCTGTAAAGTACGGCCGCATGGCTAAAATATTAATAACTAGACGGCTTTAAGGCAAACGGAGTGGAACATGTTATTTAATTCGTAAACACGCGAAAAATCTTACCACATCTTGCATTTTAAATATAAAATTATATATTTATATATAATATACTGAAAGGGTATTTAATAACAGGTATTGCATGGTTGTCCTCAGTTAGTGCTGGTAAAGCGTAAGGTTAATTCCATATAATAATGTGGTTAAATACTAAACTAACGCGATCCTCACTGTTAATTAAATCTTAACAGTATTATTTTGACTAAAAAATAATTTTAAAGGGGGCTATGACAAATCATTATGATCCTTAGGGTGTGGGCTATCGACGTGTTACAAGAATATTAACAGAGTGATGCAATATTGAAAAATGGAGCTAAACATCAAATAATATTAATGTGCTAATTGTAAGCTGGAACTCGCTTACATGAAGCTGGAATTTCGAGTAATCGCGAATCACTACGTCGCGGTGAAGTCAAATCCTTAAAGTGTACTAACTGCTCATCACGGGCTGAGAGAATCGCTGGGGGGTTGCAATGTTGACATATATTACTAAAATTTAAGCATTGTGCATCTCAAGAATTTTTAGTATTGAAAATTATGAAATGTAATATATACAAATTCAACGTGCGAACCTTGGGAATTTATCGTCTCGAAGTTGAAACAGGGTAGTCCTAGGGGAACCTGGGGCTGACAATTGCTAAGAATTAATCCCCGAGAAATAACCATAGTGTTATCTCCAACATAGTAATTATAGGATAATTTTATACTTAATAAATAGCTAAGTATATGTAATTTATTAATAAAATTACTTAAATATGTCCGGTAATAAGTATCTAATAAGGTAAGGGAAATATGTAAATATAAGTGAATATATTTATTATATTTATATACTAATGATAAGATAAGGCGGCGTGAGTCGAATATCCATAATAATTTTTAGATCATTTTGTTTATAGGATAAGTTAGTCAATATGCATATATTATAAAAATAATGAAATTTTATGTACAATCCCCTTTAGAACAATTCGAAGTTCTACCTTTTATCAGTGTTAAAGCACCTATTTTAGGTGATTTTAACTTATCTTTAACAAACTTAGGTTTTTACTGTATTATTGTAGTATTCTTAGTGCTAGGATTACACATTGTTGCTAACAACTCGTTTAAATTAATTCCTAGCAAATGGTCAGTAGCCTTAGAAAGTGCTTATGTATCAGTACAAGGTATGGTACGAGATCAAATTGGAGCTAATAATGAAATCTACACACCTTTTATTTATTCACTATTCTTCTTTATTATTTTTGCTAACTTAAATGGTAATATTCCTTATGGATTTACTGTTACAACATCAATTATGGTTTCATTAGGATTATCGGTTATGGTTTTCATTGGTGTTACAACATTAGGTCTACAAATTCATGGAATTCATTTCTTCTCATTCTTTATTCCATCTGGTACACCTTTAGTTCTAGTTCCTATGTTAGTATTAATTGAACTTATTTCATACATTGCTCGAGCAGCTTCTTTAGGGGTTCGGTTATTCAGAAACATGGTTGCAGGACACACTTTACTAAAAATTCTATCAACATTCTTATACAAATTATTTACAAGTAGTATCGTGGTTAGAGTATTAACTTTAATTCCATTTGCTATTTTCGTGGCTCTGATTGGTTTAGAATTAGCAGTTTCAGTAATTCAAGCTTATGTGTTCTGTGTACTTACATGTTCTTACATCAAAGATGCCATTAATCTACATTAGTATACCTAATTTAAGCCTATTTTTTCCTTCATACAGTGATTGATATTAATATCTTTCTTTCATATGCCTACTAACTCAAATTAACGATATCAGTAAAGATTTGCCAGTTTATTAATTATTTCCCCTTCGCAAGAAGTTGTAAAATAGAATAAGAAATTATAGCCAGGATCATTATAAAGTTATTATAAGATAAATATAATAAATTTTTGATAAATATATTAATACATGGTAAAAATGGAACTATCCTCATAACACGTTCATGGAAAGAAAAGGGTTGCCTCAGTCCTATTATTTATAGACGTAACTTAATATATTAAGGAAAGAGCCACATAGTAGTCGATGCTCAATAGAAGTGACAAGATACAGGCCTGAAAAGGGCCATACTAAAACAAGAGATAAATAACCCCCGAAACCTGCACTATTTTTCTACGAGATATATATTTGACATATAAATTAGGAGAAGTAGGAATGGGGGTTTATAAATTCTACTCTACTGTATTATTAAAATTAAAATAGAATATGTATTTTTAGAGTCCAATAAGTAGTAATAAACGGAGATGAAAGTTTTAATGATAGAATGTATACTTGGAAGTATGGGGCTGTGGGAAAGAGTACAATAAATTTTAATAATAATATATAGAACATTACGCTACAAGTAAAGAATTAATAAAAATTTTAGTATAATTAAGGCAGATTCCTCTCCCGTATAATGTTGAAATAATGATTAGTACTAATAATCACACTAAAAGAAACTAAATATATTTTAGTTTCTAAAACATATTTATATTGAATAAATATTAAAAATTCTGAAATTAAAATATATCTTCTTATTTTAATATTAAAATAAGGGGTCTTAAAATAAAGAGCCCCTTAACAAATTTATAATGTATCAATCCTTGTTTCTTTTATTAAAAAAATAACAAACAGGCAAGGTATTAAAATTATAAAAATAACAAATATGTCGGAATTGGTAGACGAGATTCACTTAGGATGAGTTGCTATTTAATAGCTTAAGGGTTCAAGTCCCTTTATTTGTATAAAAAATAGATCTTGTGGATATGTTATTATAATGATCTTTAGTATTAAAAATTCATTAAATAAAAAAGCCGGCCAGACATTTTATAAATTAATGAATTTTTTTGTTTTTACGAATTTTTATTAACAAGATATATATTTAAATGTAGGCTTATCATCTTCTATTACAATAAAAAAGAAGTATAACAAGATTTTTAATTAAAAGAAAAGAAGCACGCTAGAACTAATATGATATTTAATCAGCTAATCATTATTTCACTTATAAACCTCAAGTTTATAGAAATAGACTTAAGATTTGAGTGTAACAACACCTTTAACTTAATGGTAGAGTTGCTGTCTTCGAAACAGTCGGTATTGGTTCGATTCCAATAAGGTGTCTTCATTAAACTATCTCTTTATAGTGTTTAAATTAATTAAACATGTCTGTTCATAAAGTAGTCTTTATCATGTGATAGGCTAACTTCGATAAATATAATAATTATATAAAAGAAAGAGTATTATAACGGGTATAATATAGCGGTCATTATTTCCGATTTCCACTCGGAAAACACCGGTTCGAGTCCGGTTGCCCGTATTAAATTTTACATTATGTTTAGTTCCAAACATAAACACTAGTTATTAGGTCATAATATGTATCATTTGTTATAGTATAGATACTATAGAATCATTGCATATTTTAATATATATTAAGAATCCTATATTAATTTTTATAAAAATACTGATGTGAGTTAATTTGAATAATGGTTATCAACTAAGAATAAAGTAAAATATATAAGTTTAAGATATATATTAGTTTAGATTAGGTAAATAATTTAATAAAGTAAAAAAAAAAATAGTGAATAGTAAGCATAGAGAGAATCTAATATAGCTTTTTGTTACTTAATTAAACTTTGCTAGAGACTATAAACGTATGTTGAGTAGATCTTTTATCTGCTTCATTTTAATTAAATTAATAAAAGTAATAAGAACTAACTAGTATAATAAATAAAAAGGTAAGACTGATTTAGTGGCAGAATGCTTCATTGTGGTTGAAGATGGCACAGTTCGATTCTGTGGTTTTACCCAATATTGGGAACTAAAAATTGGAGGAAGTAGTAAACTAGCACTTAATTTAATAAATATAGTATCCAGTAGATTTTTCGGTTTTTGATTATAATAAGCAGAGGTAGTATATTTGGTTAGTACATTCCTTTCATAATGGAAAGAAATGGGTTCAAATCCCGTCCTTTGCTAAATGTTTATAGTATGGTCTTAACCCATTTTTGTTCCGGTCTTAATAAAGATCTATTTATTAGTATAATTTTTTCACAAAAATATAGCAAGCTTTAATGAATAATTCCTTTTTTTGAAAAAACTCTTTCTAAAATATATATAAATAGCAGGAAATTTATCGTCTTTGATGTAAAAAAATTTTTTCTTATTATTTAATTCTAATCTATTTACGTACCCTTAAATATATGTTTTTTTTTCTAAGAGTAAAAATATATAGTTTAATTTTATAACAAGTTTATATTATGCTCTACTTTACTTTTAATATAGGATAGGTATTCAGCAAAAAATATTAAAAGAAATAACATAAAAATGTCCAATTAATAGTGTTAGGAGAGATACCCCTAATTGGTAAGGGAGTTGACTGTAAATCAATCAGGCATATGCCTACTACAGGTTCGAGTCCTGTTCTCTTCAACGTCTTACATAAGTTATAATATAAATATGAAGAAATAATTTAAAGAAAATGTAAAGAAATGAGAATAAAGAAATAAATACATTATAAATAAAGCTTAGCTTCTTTATAGTGGAATAAAATAAGGCTAAATTTAAGATAATATAATAGATAAAGAGAAACTTTATCAATATAAAAATTTACATAATTTTTACAAATCAAATATGCCTAAGTTTATACATAGATATATTTTATATATCTCCTAAAAACTTTAATATATGTGTTGGAGATAAAGGTTATAAAAAAGTACGAGAGGACGGCTTAGATTAATATATAATGATTAAGATAAATAGAGCACATAAAGAATAAAGGTTACTAGATTTTAAGTATTCTAAAGCTAGATCATATTATGATCAGGAAGGTTGGGGACTTATTGCAATGTGTATATGACGAGAGTTGTGGTAATGAAAGAGGAAAATAGAGTATTACTATATTATTTAGTAATATGCAAATAATGCAGAATAAATTGAGATGAAAGGTTTACTCCTGCGTTGTGGTTCATCGAAAAAAAAATAGATTAGGATTAGCTTATAAACAAGATCCCTTTTATAGAACCCTTAAAATCTTTTAAACTAGTTTAATATGAGCCTGAATAATAAGAAATAAATATCTACATTGGTAATAGAAGAGAAATTAATGCGTACATTGACAGTAGCTGATAAGTTAATGTTACCGAAGCAATTATATATTATACTTGAGGGCGAAGTATGTACCTTTCTATTATTAAAATTCATTTTTAATTTTAAAGGCTCAAAATATAAACGGTTTGATCCCGTTTTCTGGTAATTTAAAGGATATAAGGCTAAAAACTAAAGCCTATTCTTTCAACTATTGTTTTATACAAAGAATAATAGTATAAACGATAAATAAATTCAATATTAAATCGATTGTGTAAATAATTGGTTTAGATAAAATATTTACACACTTTACATAAGTAACCAAAGATTCATATATGTAACTCATAAATATATATAAATATATATAAAGTAGTTAAAAAGAATCTTATGTTAAAATTATCATATGTTTAATTCTGTAAAAGAGCTAGAAATGGCAATATTCTTATAATTATATAAAATTTTAATATGAGTATTAATAATAACATTTTACTGAAGTATAACGAAAAATTATTTCCAGATTCAAATGTAATTTCTAACGGAAATTGCCATTTTTATAAAGGATCAGAAAGAGG